AAATCTGTGTTTAAATAGGTCAAACTCAAAAAACAACAGTCAACAGTGTTGATTAAAAAAATGGCTGCTACACTGTAGTTTGAACAGAGCATGCGGTTTACAATCGTCAAGGGTGCATTTAGTTCGGGTTAATTTTCCCGTAAATGTTTGGCAAATGTGGTTTGATTACAGCTTTTATTCCTTCTGAAGCTTGGCCTTGGAAATTTTAAGATGTCTCCATCCACAACATTAATCATCATGTTACGTTAAACAGCACTTGGATCATCATATGCCATGAGTCAACAGCTGACAGATATGAAGGCGTAATTAGCGGTTTTATAGCCGTAGAACCTCGCTCTCAGATGTATGCCTTGTTGATGAGTAACGGTTCACAACGGGTCCATTTCTCCGTGCAAGTTGCATTGGCTGTTCAGTTAGCACATAAAGACCTTATATCATTCCGACAGTTATATATTGTTTCACATATCGGCTGTGGTCCTTTTTTCCACATAACTTAATATCACGGTATGAGTCTCGTTTCTTGGACAGCTACGTTGTACATTGTATTGTGGGGCCCTCTGCAGCTGTATGTCTGCTGCTTAGGGGACAAAGATCGGGTACCGTCAGCACTTTCCGTAAAACGAGAAAAATACTCGTTTACGGAAAGTGCGAACGGTTCCCGATTGCTACTCCCGACTTATATTCTCGCTTACGGAAAGTGCCGACGGTTCCCGATTGAAGGGAAAATAGAGAAACTAATCCAATAACCTTTTTGTGTGCCCACTGCATATATATCGTAAGAGGCGACCAATGTCGGCCCATGCAGATTCGGGGGCTTTCTTTCATTTCCTTTCTAACCGATGTTAAACGTCATCGCAACAACCTGTCCCATATGAAGACGAGTGTCTATGGTTACTCCATACTTATAACATCATGTAGTACCTTGCTTTGGTTTCGGGAGGAGGAGCTTGCATGTTAGATGAACCAAAGAGCTATTCTGGATAGGGTTACAACCACACTAGACCCTTCGAGAGGGAGGGACATGATGAAGAGTAATACACCCATATTACATTGACAACAATAATGTGTACAGCGTAAAGATTTTCGACAGTTGTGATCTTTAATTTCCCCATCTTGACTTGTATTTCTATTCTATATCATAGTATATGTACTTTATAACGCCTCCTTGGCACCACCTCAGTTTTATTGTATATTCTAACACGATTCGTTTGCAACGTGTGCTTTGATTGGATACGGACCATTTTCTAATCTGCGATCAAAGAATCATGATCAATCGTGTTAAGCTCCTCCCATCGCACTTAAGCCACGCCCCGTTTCTAACCAAAACAATATGGCAACAAGCTCGTTTCTTAGCGAAATCCCGCTGATAAGGCTAGCAGGAAACAGAACAGAAACGACCTATTAAATGTATTTGTTGAATGAATTAAAAAGTAAAAAATTAACATTCCTTGTTCTTACCTCCATTTATTTCTTCACAAATCTATACAAATAATCACCGATTTTATCGATAAGCACAGATTGGTATGCATACTGACATGGAAATGTAAGAATGTGGTCGATACTAATCAAAATGTGTCGTATAAACTTTGGTAACAGGACGTTCACGAACACACGGTATACAGATCGAGCGCTCGCCAGTATGGGCGGGGCCAAATAACCTACTTTTGAAAGCTTCTTTCCGATTGGTCAGTCCGCTGCAGAATGACACGTCGCCAGTTCAGGTCACAAAGTATTTTACTACGTACTTTTGTAGAAGGGAATACAATGTTTCTAAACATATTAGCGTAGTATATTTGTTACGATGTGTTAGAATGGGGAACGTACGTTGTTTTTCGTGTCTATACTGGCGATTAGAACATGAAATTTGGTTTAAACTCTCGTCCGATAGCCACTCAAAACAATGTACTATCCCCTAAGTAGAACGTTCGCCCCTGTGAAAAAAAGCAGTCGGTTCTGTCCTCAGGCCGGACATATCACCGGCACGTTATTTCATTGAGGTTACACTTTCAAGTCGGCATCAATCCCCGCTATCGCTGGCAGGCAAATACCCACAAAATGCTCCCATCACACACGCATATAAAACACAATTGGAAGAATGTCTTTAAATGACATAAGCTTTTAATAAGACGTTACAGACTATCCGGGTGGCCAGGTGGCGCAGTGGATAAATCATTCGCCTTTCACCAATGCAACCGGGGTTCGATTCCCTGATCGGACGTGAACAGGTACGGGGTCACCTGTCTGACCGCGTGGAGATTTCTCCGGGTACTCCGGTTTCTTCCAACATTTAGACCCCCGCGCGCTAACATCCGGGCCATCAAGAGTGATTGATATAAGTGGAAATAACTTGTTTCATAATTGTTGATTTAAACATATTTTATTGTCGAAACAGACAAATTGATGAGAGACAAGTTCTAACAACTTACAAGCTCTTCTCCACGAATACAGCATATGAATTACATTTACATCACGGGACGTACTATGTACACAGAGATAAATTTACAAAAATATTAATATAGTAGATGTATTTTTTTGTCTAAATCAACTTTATCACAAAAAGTAAAGGGGGATAGGAAGAGAAAGTATATGAAAGACGGGAAATGAAGTAGGGAATGAGCAGATTCGGTGCCGATTGTAAAAGGTTCGTTCAGGTAGTAACAAAACGCTTTGTTGTATTCAAAAAACGTCTGTACCGATTTAACTATATTGATGTTTGTTTCGTAGGAGTAAGTGTCACTATTTCCCAACAAAATAATTTCTAGATTAAAATCTACATATAAATCACTTAAGGTATCAAATAAGCAAGTCTTTGAATAACAAAATTTGAACATGTAAAGAAGTAGTGATTCGCATCTTCCACACCGTCACCGCACAAACAATTTAGGGGACCGACAAATTCCTACTCTAAATAAATCTGACCGTAAACCACTACAACGATGCCTTATACGGCCATGTAGTACAGAAAGATAGCGATTTCCAGTATGTAGATAAGCAGGCACAGATGGAGGTACACGAGAAATTTAACTCTTAAAAGTCTGAAGACAAAAACCGGATTTTATGTTGTTATCTAAATTATTCCATAAATGTATAGACGACGGAACAAAAGATGTTTTTGTAATGACAAGACGACAACGGGGTGCTTGCTAATTGTCTGTGTTTCTTAACTCCCTGTTTAAATCGCGCCTGTTTGGTGGGATTAGGTGTTCTAAGTCAGCTGGGTCACGTTAATTGTGAATATTATAAAAAGTACACAGTATCTGCTCTTCTCTTCTCTGTTTAAATGGTTTCCAGCTAGTTTCTAAATATAATGCCTCGCGTGAAGCAATGGTCGTAAGACCGGAGACGACCCTAGCTGCTTCCAATCATTATTGTTGTAAAATAAAGAAAGATTATATATATTTTAAAGGACAATAACTTTTTAATAGGACGCGTTACCAAATAAACCAAACAACCCAAACCACAAACCTTCATAGGAAACTACTATGAACATCTCAGTTAAGTTCCGAATATAGCTGTAAAACATTCGCAGGTCTCTGTGCTAGAGACGTCTATATCCACAGTTGAGGGGAAATAACTCGAATTTCTTTGCAATGAAATGGACCAATGATGTCGTCCGCGGATTTCATTAATTTAAAACGTCAAGATGATCTGTTTGAGTAATTATCTGAGATAATGGGATAACTATCCAATATAAAGTTAAATGTACCTAATACAAGTAACGATGTTGTGCGGACCCGGATATTTTTTGGCAAGATAGTCGTTATTTGTAAATCCTTGATTCAATCTATTTCATTTCAAAATATTTCATTGTTAATACAAACAACTGATTGACAGGTGATGCTTGCTACAAATAACAATAACTTCTGTATTTCTTTGATTTCTTTCCGAATTATAGTAAATCATTCCCGCGAATAAATAATGAAATTCATTTTTCTATATTTTATCCGATATGATAACGATAAATTATTATATATCATTCCCGTCATAATTTACTTCATAAATAATAAAATTCGTCTTTCTATATGTTATCCAATATCACAACAATGAATTGTTGTATATCATTTCCGTGGTAATTGATTTAATTACTTCATAAATGATGAAATATATCTTGCTATAATTTTTCGAATGTAACAACGATAAATTATTGTATATCATTCCCGTCATAATTAACTTCAAAGATAATGAAAATACATTTACAAGTAATTGGATTAAGATCTTCATATATTTAACTTTAATTGTATACTTATTTGGTATATCAGTTTTATTGGGTGTTTACTTTCTGTATTGGGTAGTATTGGGTAAATCGATGTTTGTATTGGGTAAATCGGCACTTGTATTGGGTAGTATTGGGTTGTATTGGGTAAATCGACGTTTGTATTGGGTAGTATTGGGTTGTATTGGGTAAATTGACGGACCCCAATGTAGTAATAACTATAATGTTGGTACACTTTTTGTAAGTGCATTTAATTTATCATTTTTATCTCATTCTCGATAGGTATAATATTAATTTTCATGCAGTCTGGTTACTCGAGTACTTTTTGGACGTTGATCATGAATGTTAGAGTGGATTGTCACTGCAGATTTGTTTGCACCAACCCGTGTGTACAGTATACATTAGAAGAAAAGAATAGCATACATCACCACAAGCTTATTATTATTATTAGCTTACAACGATGTCATCAGAGCGAAACTGAGCGAAACCCTAACGTACTTTATCCGCAAGGTTTAGTCTATTATAGCGGATAAAATCCGCTTCATACACATACCCTATTCACTGCTCACCGGAAACGAGCTTCAGGGACTAATCATTGCTTGATCAGAAAGTGATTGGGAATAATAATAAAAATCATTTTATTGTCTAGGTGAAAACAATTCTGTGCCATTTCTGCGAAGGTTTTTTATTTTTACGAATAAATTGTAATTCTTTGATATTTGTCGTATTCGACAATCACATAAAAATGGCGACGTTAGTTTCTGTATTCAAATGATTCTCCCAAAAACCGCGGGTAACAGACGAAAACCTACTAGTCATGAAATGAAATAGGCTACAGTACCAACCGAGCTCTCTGTCCTGTTTATTACCTCAAATGCCGTCCCGTTCATTATACTTTCTGACTCAGGTAAGTAGAAAATTCAACTTATTAAGTTGATAAGTTTATAAAACCCAGAGGTATATATCCAGATCGGTTTCATTTCAGAGCCTAACGTCGGATTGCAAACTCATATCAGTTGAAATATCCAAGGACTGCGATTAAAATGTGTACTGTACAGTCTACTGATGGAAACGAAAAGCTAGTAACTGAAAATTGTATTTCTTGAAGTTAAGAATTTGTCAAAAAGTGTTACCTACCTTGAATAGCCGGTACGCGTACGTAATCCGGAGCGGCGACTGTGACCTGGTGTTCAAAGGAAGACAACTAACTTAAATTACAGTTCAGACACAGGGGCTCGTTACAAATGTCTGAAATATGCTGTTACCCATATCAGTTTTTCAGACATTTGTAACGAATCGAATCCCTGTTCAAATGTTTCACTGGTCGATAACAAGTTTTTCTTTAAAAAAAAATCTCATTTTTTACAGATGATGGATTTATTTTCTCTTTTTATTCCAATCAATTTTTCCTCTACTGTTGAACATGTTGGGCCTGTGTAACAGTCAAGAGAAAATACACTGCCAAACCGGGATTCAAACCCAGGAACCTCCGAACTCTAGATGCATTCTCTACCAATTAAGCTACCAGCTGGTGGCCTTCGCATGACCCAGTCCAGTTCCACTACATTCCTCTTGCCTTTTTCTATAAGTCTTTGCCCAGAAAAGCAGCACTATATTTACAACCAACAGCACCACTGTAACAGGACGGGAAAAATGCACAACCTGAGAGATTAAGAGATGACTAGTCTAAGGGTTAATTCAAAGTATAGAATGAATGTTACTTTACATTTTATTTTTCCAGGATAAGGGAGTTATCATGACTAAATGACATTAAGGAAGATGACTGGGGCAATGATTGGTCAGACTCGTTCCTGGCTGAGAGCCAAGTCTGTTCTGGTTCCCGAGGACTGGCTTGAGGCCTGTGTGGAATGGATTAAGGAAGAAAACCAGGTTTGAATTGTTTAAAAAAAATATATGTTTATTCTTTAATTATTTTCATTTTGACAGAATGAAAAAGTTCAGTTCAAATAACAGTGAAACGTGTTTAAACCGAACATGACATGCATGTGACAAAAACTTTAATTTAGAATAGATCTTTTAAAAGTAGACTAGCAGATATCATATAAGGGCCAGTGAAAATGTCACGTATTTACTATGAAATCCTCTAATTTATACAATAGGACGATATGTTAAGGCCTGGCCTTGTGATCATGAAACACCCTTAGACCTAAGGTTTTCATGATGTTAATTTGTGATTGGTCAAGCCATGATTAAAACTTAACTTCTGAAGACAATTTTAGACTAAAGATTGATTCATGATCTCGGGGCCTGGTTGTTATATTGTTTATAACAATATTTAAAATATGTCAAGATTCCAGATGAAAAAGTTCCAGATGAAAAAGAATGTTTATTTTTTCCAATTTCATGATACATTTTATTTAATGCATTATACCTTGAACAACCTTTTGTGTTTAAAGGGCAACAACATCGTACAATCCCGGATCAATGACTTGGTATTTGAACAGTGGCTGTTAGCAGACCTCCACGAGCTCGGTACTCGGTGCCTACCTAATGGGCTTGCAGAGGTTGCAAAATACCAACTCTCTGGCACCTACGCTCTCCAAGTATGTACAGAATTGTAAACTGTGAAGTCATCAGATAGCTCATATTTCATGATATATTTGATGATTGAGAATCTGTGGGAACCTTGGTTGACACAGTTTTGGATTTTTACTGATTCAATCACAGTAAGTCACTTATTGTATCAGCATCTTAAAAAGAAAATGTCCCCCTCTCCCCCAGGGGTTTTCTGTGGCTAGAAATTGATTTTAAAAACTACTAGTCGGTTGGGCTATGTTGTGTGCAGTTTCCAATTTCAATAGACTGTAAACAAATTCCACTAAACCAAGAGTATTCAACACCATAAGTAATATCAAATTTTGACTAATCAATTATGGTTCACAGTTTTTAGAACCACTAGTCCTACTGTAGATTTCACTAGTCTCAGACTATCAGACTACCTTTATTGTCTAGCCCGGGTCATTTAGGGTAGGGAGCCGGGGGGGG